GCATGTTAGCACTTGAAGTGTTCATTCCCCCAGAAAATAAAACATTATTTACCACCAAATTGCGAGCAGGTTTACGTAAAATACATATAAACAATCCGGAATCATCCATCAAGTGTCACTTTTTGAGCATAAAGTTTGACTGACGATAAACCCTGCCCAAATGGGTGAGTGTCCTAGATACGCAAAAAATCTCCTTCACAGAGTTTTAGTTTATCCATCATGGGTAAATATGATTACACTCATATTTTCCCACAGGTCGCTTCCCGTAACTAAAGGAAATTAGCCCATTTTATGAGTAAAAGTAATAACTTATGGGTCAGTGATAGGATATCAGTAATTTCACCCACCGTATGGTATTTAACGTGCATTAAGACGTGAACTGTATGGGAAGAATGTTAAAATCCACAGAATGTGGCTAATTCCCTCAGGGGTTCTTCCAGTAAGCCTAGCCTCACAACCTGGGGCAGTTAATTTGCCTTTGTGTTAACATCTAGGATCCCAATCATGATAACAGTCCTGCAGTTCTAGGCAGCTGGAAGTATTCAGCACTTTCAAATAGCAGTTACTAAATCTGATGTTCAGTGGTTCAGTGAAACTAAGATAACCGGTTTCGAGAAATACACTCATTTGCAAATCAATTTGGTTCTCACGAGAGACTCAACTGAATCTCTCGTTTATGATATTCTACAACTGAATGTGCTGCAGAAAGGCCGTCTCATGTTTCAATTCACACGATATTCGAGATGTCGCAGTGTATTTTTATAAAGGAGACTACTTACAAGGTTGCTGAAAACTCTTCGACAGCCCACGAATATCATGCCAACTGAAACATGAGAATAGCATAAACGAGAGATTCAGTTGGATCTCTCGTGAAAACCAAATTGACTTGCAAATGAGTGTATTTATCGAAAACATTCCACTTTGGGTTCAAATAGAACATAAGGTTGACGGAAACTCGGGGACTGCGCCTACTGAATGAGCCCCAGGAAGGGCGCAACCGGTCGTGGGCGGCCGAAGAGTTTTCAGCAGTAGTTTACTTTATGAAGACTACGGGTAGTTTGGAATGCAGCGCGTCAATCTTAAGAGACGAAAGGTTTCATGCACAAGACCCTCGAAGTTACAACCTACTTTCCGTTTAAAAAAATTAGTGGGATCAGTTCACTGAGTTGTAACACATACCCTGCACCGATGCAGATTCCACTGTATCTCCTGTCTAACACAACCAAAGTCTGCGGTAATCACGTTTGATTCATTTTCTTGAGATTTTGGACAGTCGCTTAATATTTGCTTTCAAAAGAGTGTCAGCACGCGTCAGGTGCTGCTAATATTGTGTCTAAAGCGATGACACATTAATGGGCCAAAAGAAGTTATTTTGTGTCGGGTAATTTATTCTACGAACCTGAATTACCTCACTTCAATCGCAGAGCCCGTTTGGTCATCTTTGCATTGTACTTCGTCCTGTCTCTTAAATTTTTTTATGGTTGTGAGACCTGGAATTCCAGCAGACTTTAGGTCAGCACATATGGAGCTAACAGCAAATCAGTTGAAAAGCTAAGGCGAGGAATTTTCAACGAAAGTAAGGTAAATCTCGTAACTAGTGTAAATACCAGTGGTCGGTGATGGCACTTACATCGCTTATCGTTTTGTTTTGTCAACAACTTTGCTTGGTGCCCGAATGCACTACAGGTTTTTCAGTTAAGGTCAAGTGTCCTTTTCTCCAAAGGATCGAGTTTACATTTAACAAGTAACAAACTAGCCTTTGACTGACTTCCCTTGTTACAGTCAAAAGGTTGCGCAGTTAAAGAAAAATATAATAAACAAGAGGCTCAGCTTGGTTTCAACTGATTCTTCTATAAGAAACAAATGTGCATGCAACTAAACCCAGTCCGCTAATTTCGTGAAAATTTGGGCTCACGTTGAACAAAAGGTGGATGGCAACTCAGTGACTACACCTAATTGATATGCACTGGAAGGGCGAGACCGGTCGAGTTTCTAGAAACATCTATACAAGTTTTCGCAGTTTTTTGCTGGCTTGAGTTGCATAAAAGACTGATTTGGTTATGTCCGCAAAAATATTGATTCGCAATGAACTGCTGTACTCATAAGGTTCCAAGTGTATCCGAGTGTAATTTCAACAGTTCAGTTTTCAGAACTACTTCATTATGCGCCTCAGAGATATTCGACAAGCTCTGTAATCCACAACCTTTGTACGCAGTAATTTAAATTAGCATTTCATTGTTATTCGTGTTCCGTTTTTGGTAAACGGAATCCTTGCTAGCGGCATTCTTAGGTGATGCAAGCAATCTCTAGGCTCATATATTTTTCGGAAAATTCTACAACATCTCATGAGTAATACTATTCATTTGGCATGGGTGCAGTAGAACTAGGTTTTCAATCATTCTCATTTGGTATCAGACACGCTGACTTCAAATCAACAGGCCGGCGTTTTGTGTACAACTGTGTACAACTTTTGTCTACGCCGCAAATAAGACAGTGTGACTGACAGTGAGCACATAAAGTTAGGCCCTGAAGTGAAACGTGCTCATCATCGAGCGGTTACGTAAACGACCGATTTCAATTCAACATAACGCATAATGCAATTTGAGTGCAAGCTCTTCAGCTAACGGCATAGAGACACTACTAACGCCACGGGTTCACAGAATCAGTAGCAAGCATCTTATTATTCGGGAAATGGTGGGCATAATTCGAAATTTGTTTTCAAATACTGACCAAATATTGTGGCACCAAGTGTAAACAAACGCGTACTACGAGAGTCTGACAGCTCAACCGGCACAAGCCTTATCTTGCACGCTCACTTTTATAAAGCTTTTATATGTAGATCCTGTGCTTTTTAGTAAACTGAGCCTAATTTTCAATTTTAAGACGTACTGTAATACAACTGACAACACCTCCAGTTAGTTTAGGGGCACAGCTGTGAATAATAAGGCGGAGACAGTTCCCTTGGTGTTTAGTGCTCCCAATTACATGGAGTAAAGTGGGTGACCAAATGGATGATTTTTCTCAAGACATTCAAGCCAAGCATTTTGCCGTGGAGGATGTTTTCGTTCGATGAACAAATCCAAAATGATCGCCCGAAAGAATCAAAAAAGGAGACTGCCCAGACAGGAAAATGGATTCTATAAGAGGGGAAAAGGTACCCAACATTCGTTTAATTGGTCTTTGGCTTGTTCACTGAGCTAGGAGATGTGATTGCAAACGTCGAGGTGACATCATCATTGCGTTGTCAGGGAGTGGTGAGTAGCGATGGGTCGATGGTTGGTTGATGAAACGTTTGCCCAGCTCAGCGAACAATGATCATCTACGCCACCTGAATTAACAATACTTTTCTGTGTAGAAAATTCGTTTTAATATCGAAACTCTAAGAAAAAAGAGCATTTTCACCTTTGAAGAAAGAACAGTATACTGAGAAAAGGGAATGATTACCAATACAAGCGATCACATTGGGCTTGTTTACAATTCAGCTACCTAATTTGCCACTCCGCTTAACAACACAACGTTCGACCTATTGTTGACCACACTAAATAAAAAGCGTCCCGTAGAAGGCTGTGGTGACAAATTTCAGTAGACAGTCCGCACAAGTGGATGTGTATTGATCAAAACAACATTGGCCGTCTGAGTAAAACTCAATGCCTTTCGCTGGACACTAAATCTATACTTTGCTTTGATCACGTTTCCTACAACCTAGAGGCTTTTTCTCCCATCTGTGCAGCAAAATGAAGATCAACTGAAAGACCGTAGGTCCATTTCAGGGAAATAGTAAAAGAAACAGGCTTGAAACCGTTTCCAGCATGTTGTATCGTTCAAACCATTTCGTACGTGAGTGAAGGTCGCACTATCCACACGAAACGAGCCACTTTATGTTTTATTTAGTAAACGGTACTACAAATGATCACAAGTAAATCGCCAATTTTGTTTTCTAGATTTTATTATTTTGCATCACTGCGAAGTGGTACAAATGTTTATAAGTTGCAAATCCATCATGATTAGTTTTCTAGGATCTGGTGGAGTTGGCAAACAGCTCTCAAAATTGGATATTTGGTGAAATTTTATGGGTGTTATTGTCCATTGCTCTAACCTAGAATTAAAAAAGTCCATAAAACAAGGTGAATTACCTCCCGTAGTTCCTGGCGACGAATTTCATAGCCCAAAAATACATCTTGGAAGCGTTATCCTTTGTCTGATTCCCCAGGCATGAGCATCTCATTCATCTTTCCAAAGAATTAAAACCACAGCTTATACCAGGTGGCCAAACGCACCTGAGCAAAAAATATTATCAATGTCCTAGTTGTCGGCATTTTCCGCCAAGTGGTCTTAAATTAGCCCGAACCAAACTGTAACAACCTCCGGATAAGTGGACAAGAATAACTTCAGCGTAGATACTATTCTGCATAAGCTCTGTAGGTGGCAATAAGACACTCAGGCTTATTTATCTACCAGTTTATATCACCTTGGAAATACGGTCAGTCTCGGCACAAAAATTCCTGATCATCGACTTAATGATAAAACTAGGAGTTACACGAATTGTTGAATGGGTGCGTTTTTTAGACAGCTCAAAATAGTCCTTTATCCATACTTTCCCATTTCTAACGTTGAGATACAGGTTGGAGAGTGCATGCCCGAAGCCAATTTGTTCCAGGCTGAAAACCAATTACTACTATGTACAAACTCCTGTCCTTATCACTAGAAGAACTAAAATTAATATTTCCAGTATTATCTCAGGTACGTGTTGGCATAGTAACCAAATGATTTGCTGTGGGTTGTTGCTTAACATAGCCAAACCCTGTACCAACTGAGCCACTAATTCGCCCCCTCAGCCATTCTGAAGTGTTCATCATCATCATCATCATCATCATCATCGTCATCAGAGACGGCAACATCAATGTTGACACTGATGCTTTACTGCTATAATGCTGGAATGTTGACTAGAATGATCTGACTCTACACCAGTTGCACGTTGACATACGGGTCAATCTCATGGTCTATGGGTATGGTTTATTGCTAAACATCACCAAAGAATACATAAAGTTCCAAACTGTGAAAACCATTTGCTTACCAAGTAAAAAGTTTCCTGCTCTCCATTGAGCTTTGCCACGTTGATGTGATACGCGGCAACGCAACTGGACATCCTCACCCTCTAGTACCTCGTAGCGATCCGCAGGAAGTTCACGAAGACATTGAATCTGATTGCTGTTTTCCTCAGGCGTGCAGGTCTCTGACTGTTCCGCCACAACTAGACTGGTAACTACCGAGCTGTTGTCTGAAGGTTTCGAAATTGGTTTTGTTTGTGATGTGAAAGTTAGCGAGTTTAGGGAGCCCGTGGAGCGCAATTTTGAATCGGTTTCCAGGTTCGATTGATTTGTCCGCCACGGACGAAGAGGAGGAAGACCAACGGGGGGAAGGTGGAATTGGTTAGGTTGATATAACGGAGAATAATGCAATGTGGCTCGTTCAAGCTGAATGCTTTGTGAAAAGAACAGCACAAATACACAGAGATGTTGAACTGTGAAAATCATACACAGCGAGTAATCCGGTCTTTTTCGGAAAAATAATACTTCCGTTTTTGTTTTTCTCCTCACGAGACGAAGTGACATCACTAGACGTGTGAAATAATATTATATTCAGTGCTCCATTTCACACGCCGAAAAAAATTAATCCAAAAGTTCGTTTTTGTAAAGTGGATTTATTCTCCCCAAATAACACGTTTTAAGTTCCTGGCTTTTGGACTCAAAAATATCACACACATATTGCACTTAACTGCCTAAGTGCCACAGGGAATGTATCATCTTGTGTTCGCGATCACTTTATGCCAACTGAAATGCCTCAAATAAGTGTTTTCAACCACGCGCTTGAATGTGTCTGTGCATGCCTATCGAAAGGCTAATTGTCCTGCTCACCACCTAATGAACCAATGAAATTTCCCAGGTAATTTGCCCCCGATACATTGCTCAAGATGTTGGACAATGCGCCAATCGTAAAAGTATGGTAACAAATGCACGTAAACAATTTCCTGCATACCCCAAGTTAAATAAAACTGTAGATATACGGTTGCTTACGATTAGCATATTTTTTTGTTATTTTTTACCACGTTTGTTGAGAATTACACCGACTATTCCAATCAGGAATTGGTCAACACAAAGTTTATTCATTGAGTGGATCAATTTTGGTCAGTCGTGGAGATTTCATTTCTGACTTGTCTGACAATTATGTTCCAACTGTTTGCATGTCTTGCTAGTATTTTTCATAATGAGCACTATTCTTGTTACCGATAACATTGATATAACTAATAATAAATAATCAATGGATGTATTCAATGAACTGAACGATTTCAAATGTAGACTGGAAAAGTTCCTTGTCTCAGCCTTGGAGGCCAAATTGAGCACCTAGGGAAGTTTGTCAAGCGATGGCATTTAAATTTCCCGGAAACATTTGGGACTTCATATAAAGTGAGTTATATAACCAAATCGCTTCCTTGAACACAACTCTGGTGATCCCACCGAACAGAATGCGCAACATTAAAGTGTTGCCCCCAAAACCGACCAAACATCAGTGCATTTGGAAAAACTGTTTTCTTACTGTTTTCCTACAGATGTGAACTCATCGAACTAATTGCGTTATGATCAAAAAGCTCTTCAAACACAGGATTTATGGTCCCTTTGTGAACAACCAAAGAAACGTCAGTTGCGATTTCCTAATCTTGATGAGATTCAAACTTTCCGCATTGAGACAATAAACTGTTTGTATTAGAACTAAAGGAAGCCTGTTTTTGACAACTTTCATCGTCTGCAATACACATACGTTCACGTATTTTTTCCTAATTTGTTGGCTTATTTGCCAGACTTTTAAACGATTAGCAAAAATGCGTCGTTACAATCCGAGGTTCCGCCTAGACTGGTGAGGAAACTTGTGTAAATCAGTTGCCAAACAAGTCCCCACCGAGCTATTCCGTCACCCGATCCACTTTATAGTTCATATCACAGAATAAATATGCATAATTCAAGCTGACGCATAATCCAGTTTGAAGAGCCTTTAGAGTTCATTCGAATAACTTCTATGATAGACACATATAAGCTGAAATTTCAAAGCCAATATGAATCGACTATAAATCTTAGACCTGACCAGGTCTTAAGACCACACAAAAGTTCATTCCACCAGATGATATTCAGGTGCTGGAAACGTGTAACAGCAGCGATAGTGGCTCGCACGGCTCTAATAATGTTGACATCTACATCACTAGAAAACCCGTGCTGTCCACTTAGACATTTCCAGAGAACAAAACACAGTGTGCTTTGAAAAAATGGGTCCCTTATTTAGGTGCATCCTGGAGCTCATCACGCAGTGGAAAGATAAAGCCCACTGTACTCTACACTCGACAACACCTTGTGCGCTACTACGGCGTTGAAAAGTACACAAAATTTGACACAGTATCACCTCAGTGGTAATAATAAACCCCATTTATTGAGCATACAACAATTATCCATCACTTTTAGCCAACTAGGTTTTCCACGTTCTTGGAAGCGCCCTTACTGGATATCTCGGATAAGTCACAACGGATTGACAGTATTTTTATCATTTTGACTCAACGAATTCTGAACTAAAGTCCAACAATTGGATCAGCGCCACTATTGTTGTGCAACGGATTCATGCTGTTTAGGTATGCGGGCAAATTTGATAGAACAGAGCATGAGATTGACGTCCGAACATAGGAAAATTTTGTCTCTCAATTAGTTACTGATGTTTATCAATTAACAAAAACCATTGTTTGGAAATTCGGGCATGTCACACTGTGGGTTTAAAGCGATTTCCGTCTACTTTGTGCAACTACTGTGGTCCTGTCCTCAGATAAATAAGCGCACAATTATTACTGTTAAAAATCACATCTAATCAGAACTGACTACCAATATGGAATGCTCACTGATTACTGGTTAGGCTAATATAAGCATATTTGGGAAGATATCAGAATTTAAACGCTAGACACTTTTGAAGCCTATATGTCAAACACTTTTTTCGGCTGTTATTCGTACTTGTTTGTTTACAAAAATATCCTTCCAATTTTACTTTCCAAATCACTAGGCTGCCATCACCATATTGTATTAACTTTCTTCGATCAAAACAGCCCAAAGGTGGTTGCGATAACAATGCAATTGAGAGCGTTTTCGTACTGATCAGACTAGGAAATATTAGACACGGGTTGACCCGAATATCCCATTAGACTTGAAAGTATTTTACTGTTTCAACAATTACTTGTCTTCCAATAATGTGTTTAAAGGGTTTCCAACGTAATAGCACGGACATATCAAAACTGGGATAAGTAAAGTACTTGCTGAACCCGTTGAGCAATAAGCTTGTCGTTCTTTATCAGCCATGTTTTCCATTAGTTTGTTAGTTTGACTTTTTAAGCATCACGTGAATTTCGAATTAATAAATGACCGTTCACACAAGGGTCATGGTATTTCAATGCATCAGGGCACTTTTGCAAACATATTGTACGAAGAAATAGTAGACTCAAATAATAAGGTAATAAGGTTCATATATTTCAAGTCATTTCATCAATATTCTTCCTAATACTGTCACCTTTGGTTGCTGCAATATAGTGCACAACGTTATCCTTCGTGCATTTCCGAGATATCTTGCAACATTTTAGTTCAATAGGTGGCGAATACCACTTATGCGTGTAATGCCGAAATAAAGTTTGGCTTTCTTTCAGACAGTTACTGCATCATTCTGGGATAGCAAGGGAGTGTCCAGGTGCACGGAAGGGGATCATAAAACCAACTAGTCTATCGGCTACTGCAGGGTAGCTTTCAGAGGCACATAGATGGAGTTCTACAAAATAAGGACAAAATCCTGGAAGGTATGAAAGAGAGTAGAAGGACAAAGTAAAGTCCGTTTATGTTTCTCTGATTTGCTTTACCACAACCGGTGAGTGGCACGTGCATTTTGGACCCTCTGTTAAACCAACTAATGGACTTCATCTAAACGCGTGCTTGCAATCAGCACCGTTTCCAAAAGTTTTTGCAAAGTCATTTCTACCAAACGTGGGTGTGACAGACCAAATACACCTTGTTTCCGCAAACTTCAAAACAAATACTTTGCACACAAGAATGAAGGATCATTTGTGCCAAATTTCGCGGATTTTGATTTTTTTAACATTTTGACGAACGGAGCAAATTTATATAAAATTCAAAGTTTGAAAGCAAACGGCCAATTAACGTTTTATCTTGCAACCAATTTATTTAGGGAAGATGACCGTGGTTTTTAGGAACAATTTGCAAGGGACGGTGCCCGTGTTACTTGAGTGCACGGGAGGTTTCAGTGAAAAGAACCTTCATATCTTCTTTTCTCCCAGGTTGGAATGAACGTATTGGTCTTGAATCTACCAAATGAATTCCAAAACATGTATATTTCTACTCATGAGTTTGCCGAAAATTCCTCGAGTCCCCGAGTTTCCGCCAACCTTGTGTTCTACTTGAAACCGAATTGCACGAATTTAGTGACGTACACTCATTTGCAAACAAATTTGGTTTTGAGAGAGACTCACCTGTGCAATGCTTCTAGGCAGCTGAATGTGCTACACCAGGTCACCTCATACTTCTTGCTACGACATTCGAGCTATCGAAGCACATTCAGTTGCTAAGAGACATCATAAGCGAGAGATGCAGCCGGGTCCCAGGTGTCTCTAACAAAATCAAATTTGTTGGCAACTGAGTTTATTCCGCTAAGTTCGTGCAATTTGGTTCCAGATGGAACATAAGGTTTCCGGAAACTGCGAGACTGCGCATAACTTATTAGCCCCAAGAAGGGCCAAACCGACCATGGGCTTCTGAATAATTTTCGGCAACTTTATGAGTAGTGCATTACGAACATACATGTATCGCAATATCATATCCAACCGCAACATGAGGCGGCCTGATGCAGCACATTCAGTCGCCTGGAGGCATCACAAACGAGAGATTCAGCTGGGTTCCAAGTGAGTCTCTCTTAAAACCAAATTTATTTCCAAATGGGTCTATTTGGCGAATACCATTTGCCAGAAAACGTGGGCCAATGTTTTACGATTGCTCACTCTGATGCATGAAAAGGCTTTTTATGTAATTGAAATCCGTAATCGATCTGCTAAATCTGATAGCTTATATGCGCAGATATGCGCCTTAATACTTTCACTGCACACGCAACAAATATTGCTCCTCTCTATTAAAATTTTTTCGTAAAAATTCCCATCATTTTCTCTAGTCTATAGAAATAAAAATGAACTCGAGT